AAGATTGACATCTCCAAGTATGGGGGGGGTCGAAGAGGACGTCCTCTTGAGATGGTTCGTCGAATTGGATGACGCCATAAGGGCGCGTCGCATCGACGACGGGGATATGCAAGTTGCATTTGCCCAGTCAAATCTGGAAGGGCGTGCCAAGACTTGGGCACTGGGGCTCAAGTTGCACGACCCATATGCGTTTGGGTCGTTGGAAGTCTTCAAGTCGCGGCTCAGACAAACGTTTGAACCGCCTAGAGCTGAGTTCAGAGCTCGAACCGAACTCTTGAAACTCAAGCAGGGCAAGCGTGATGTGCACGCTTACGCGCAACATATACGACATCGCACGAGTTGTATAAGTTTCAATCCGGTGGATGAATACACGTTGGTTTCGGTGTTCATGCAGGGTCTTGCGGATGGTCCCGTCAAGACTCACCTGTTCCGGCTTGAACTAGATTCACTAGAACAAGCCATTTCCATTGCGGAACAGGAAGACTTCAGTCTGAGACAGGCTCGCGCCAGCTCGACATCGTATCTTCAACCGAGACGATGTGACAGCGAATGTCCAGAGCCGATGGAAACTCTGTTATGCAGAGAGCGAGAAGGCTCGCTCTACAGACTACAAGAAGTTGCAGAAATGCAACAGATGTCAAAAGACAGGACACTACGCTTACGAGTGTAGTGTTCCTCTTCCAGTGTCTCGCATCACTGGGCTTAACAACCGTCCACCCATGAGAAAGGGGAAGGGACGAGGGTCCGCTGTTGGTGCAAAGACGCAACAACGGGATGGACCGTCAAAAACGGACAGGATCAGTAGGTGCGGAGCACCCTACAGGTCCAGCAACGTCAAGAGAATTTGTAGGCCTTTTGATGAAGGTTGCTCCAGACACGCAGATACTGTGCGTTGCTGCTCTAGGTAATGAGATCTCACTCATTACCTTGAAACTCGAAGTGACGAATAAGTTGTCCCTTCGAGATCTAGTCGATTGTGGGGCGTCCAAAATTTTTGTGCGACGCCAATCGCTAGAAGATGGTCACTTCAAGTTTGTTAAGTGTGACACACCTCCTACGAGGATGACGGTACATCTTGCGACAGGCTCATCCGTAACCGTCATGAAGTGTATAGTGAAGATCCACTATACGCTAGAAGATACCCAATATGACGATGACTTTATCGTATTGGATTTGGATGACAAATTTGATGTCATCCTTGGATTACCGTGGCTCAGAAGGTACGAACCACGGATAAACTGGCAACATCGAACAGCAAAGATGCCTTCTGCTTGTTCATCAGATGGCCATCTGATGAACGTTTTGGAGCGTCCACAAGCGTGTGGATGTACTACGAGTGAGTGCGATGGCCTCACTTGTGGTACGGTCGTTAATACGACTGCACGAAACCTTAGTGTAACAAACGGTTACACTTCGTAGCAAAGTTCCGGCGGCTGTGAGGAAACACAGGCTGCGCCGAAGGTCCACCACTCGATTAAGTCGAGTGAACCGGGACAAAGATGTATCCCTAGCGGGGAACATCTAGAAGAGAAACAATCGATCGCTCAGATTAAGCGAAACGATAATCCTAGATCGACTAGAGAGTCTTTCGTAGAGGATCTCGCTGTGGTTGCGCAAATTCAGCTAGAGAAAGTTAAGGGAATAAGCCCCGATAGTACAAATACGGCGGAAATAAGTTTCCCGAAACCCGCGGGAATAAGTCCCCGGGAAGCCGAAGGAATAAGTCCTTCGAGACCCGAGGGAATAAGTCCCCAGACTATGAAAGAGACAGTGAATGTCCTGGTTAATGATGGATCAAGTGTAGGAGCTTATACACTTGATCTGATTGCGCCTCCGAAGTTGACTTCGGAGATCACCCAGTTGCCAACGCTCGAACATAAAAGGTTCTTGCGTGATCTGCGTAGTGGCAAAGTCAAGCAGATCTGCGTACTCGTCGCTGACGACGAGTGTGTAGCCTACATAAGGTCAGCAACAGTGTTTACTGAGAACGAGAGAGTTCTCAGTAGTTCATCTATGGACGAGAGTGTCCTGGATGAAAAGACAAGAGTTGAGCGATGTGACTTTCCCAATCGTGGGAATCGCTCAAGACAAATCCTCTCTATGAAGATTTGGTTGAATTCAAGGATGTATTCCCTGAAACTGTTCCGTGCGAATTACCGAAGGATAAAGGTGTTCGACACGAGGTCGAGCTTAAACCAGGCTCGAAGTACTGTGTCATGAAGCAGTGGCCACTGCCTCGTGAACAAGTACTTGCGATCGACAAGTTCGTTGCCGATCGTTTAGCTGCGGGCCATGTGAGGCAATCAACTTCCCCACATAGCTCTCCGACCTTCTGTGTGCGAAAAGCAACAGGAGGGTGGCGGATAGTGCATGCATTTAACAAGTTGAATGCCGCAACGGTACCGGCTCGGACGCCGATACCAAGGAAGGACGTAATCATTGATGGTATGTCAAAGAGTACCATATTTCGTCCATGGATTTGATGGATGGCTTCTATCAAATCCTTATGCAAGAACGGGATATACCCTATACCGCAATTAACACGCCTAGTGGCATGCTCTGGGATTGGCTAGTAATGCCACAAGGGCTTAGTAATGCCCCTGCCACGTTCAACAGATGTGTATCACATCTGTTAAGACCAGTACGAGAATTCGCGCCGAGTTATTTCGATGACGTACTCATCCATAGTCGGGCTATGGATGGAAAGTCGGATGTTGAGGTTCACAGGTACCACGTCCGACAGGTTCTTACAACCATGCGAAAGCATCAATTGTATGCAAACCTCAAGAAGTGTATATTTGCAGCAAGCGAAATACCACTTCTTGGGTGCATCGTTGGTAAGAACGGTGTACGTCCTGATCCCGAAAAGATCAAGGCGATCACCGACTGGCCTGTGTCAGCTGATGTCAAAGGTCTTCGAAAATTCCTTGGGCTAGCGGCGTATTTGCATAAGTATTCACACAATTACGCCGAGATGACTGTGCACCTCTCTCGTTTGTTGAAAAAGAACGATAGGTGGTTATGGAACGCTGAATGTCAACGCTCCTTTGAGGGTATCAAGCAGAGCTTGATACAATCCCCAGTCCTAGCAATTGCCGATCAGGACAGGCCATTTCATGTGGTCTGTGATGCCAGCGATTTCGCAATCGGCTGCGCATTAATGCAGCACGATCTTGAAGGCTTTGAACGCGTCGTCTGCTATCAGTCGCGTCAGCTGCAACCTGCTGAGCGGAACTATCCAGTGCATGACAAGGAACTCCTTGCCATGAAGTATGCACTCGCGAAAATCAGAGTCTACCTATTAGGAGATAGACCCTTCATTGTTTACACTGACCATGCGTCATTACGCACGGCAGTGAACAGCCCGCACCTTTCACAACGAATGGAGCGGTGGTTGTCATTCTTTGCAGGATACAACTTTACGGTCAAGTACAAACCAGGACGACTTAATGTCGTTGCTTATGCACTCTCACGTCGTCCCGACTTTGAAACAGTCGTGAAACCCGACAGTGAGTCAGTCACTGTTGCGGCTCTGACGTCCTCAGTACCATCTTCAACGTTGCATGATGATGTGAGGCGGGCAGACGCCCAAGATGGTGAGATAGTGAAGTTGTTGACACATCTCTCACAACCATCTCGAGAATCGTTGAAATGATTGTCTTCTGCGTATCGATCTGCATCAGATCGATACACTACTCGCAACGGGTTACTGTATTATACAGCCGTTTCTGGTGACACACCACGTGTTGTCATTCCAGATGATACTGATCTGCGTTTGCGGATCACGTTCGAGTATCGCGATGCTCCTATAGGAGGACATCGTGGCCGGGAGAAAACAGATCTGACGGTGAGTCGAGACTTTTACTGGCCCCGCCAGTATCAGTTTGTGCGAAAGTATGTTCGCGCATGCGAAGTCTGCCAACGAGTGAAGTCAAGCCCTTCACTGCGTGCACCATTACAGCCTCTACCGGTTCCGGCTGAGTGCTGGGAATCCATCTCAATGGATTTTGTCTTCGGGTTACCCAAAGACGCACGCGGGAATACGGGTATTCTCGTATTTGTTGACAGATTCAGCAAAATGGTACACCTTGTGGCTGTACCAGAGACAATCACGGCAAGTAGCTGTGCCTGTGTCTTTATTGACACCATCTTCCGACTTCATGGGTTGCCCCGTGAACTCGTATCAGACAGAGATCCACGCTTCACTGCTGATTTCTGGCGTTCCGTGTTCAAATCACTCGGAACGCGCTTGAAGATGTCGACATCTGATCATCCAGAGTCAGACGGTCAGACGGAACGATCCAATCGTGTCCTCAAAAAGATACTTCGAGGATACGTACACTCCTTTAAGAGTTGGAGTGATTTCTTGCCAATGATAGAGTTTGCCATTAACAACTCGGTGCATGCGTCCACGACACATACACCGTTTTACGTGAATGGCTTGCGCCATCCGCGTGTACCCACCCTACTCGAATGTAACTCTGGTTTGAGGGGGGGGGAGACTCGCGCGAGCAAAAACCAATTTGGTTCACGCGTATCACGCTCTGACGAAGAGGTCATTGCGTTTGATGCCGATATCGATAACATCGATATTGAAGAAGAAGATGCCAGTGAGAGTGCGGAAGCCCTCACTGAAGAAAAGATTGATGTTGCTGCAGTGCACTCACAGCGCACTGAAGCTAACGAGTCATCATATGAGTTTATACTGGCTCGTGAAAAGGTATTCCGTTCCGTGCAAGACTCCATCGCCGAAGCAGTGGATAAGCAAAAGCAAAATGCTGACAAGAATGGAAGGGCAAACACTCTTTTATTTAATAAAGGTGACTTAGTCCTACTATTTACGGTTAATCTACCAAAGCATGTAGTGACTAACTTGGGTAGCAGTAAAATAATACCGAAGCAAATCGGCCCATTTCGTGTATTGCACCGCCTAGGCAATGCATACACGATCGAGATGCCACTTAAGATGCGAACGCATCCCAAGTTTTACATTGGTCGGCTTAAGCCGTACCATCAGTACGCTGCTTCTTCCGATGAAGAACACCCTTGCGCTCAAGCATCTCGCAGAGAGCCTTGTGCTTCCGATGGTGGGCATCGACAAGGGTCTGAAGAGCATTTATCTTATCCCGAGACCGATCAACAATCCCACGAGATACCCTTAGCTCGTCACGAAGAGATGTCAGAGCTCTCTCGTTCTCAAGCTGAGCAAAGGCAAACTCAGCTCGATGCTTTGAGACAGTGTCCGCCATTTGGAGACGCCTGTCCCGCTCATGTTCGAGATCGTCGCGTAACCCTTGCGTTACGCGATCAAAGAAGCTCTCGGGAACACACCGATCCACATGATCGTGTGGAGAGCGTCTTCCATCCTCATCCACCTCCATTAGAGGACTCTTGCGGTGGCCAGCGCTATCTAGTTGAGCAGCTTTGAACCACCGCGACGTGAACGGACGTCGGACGAGTATTCTCGTCCGGTGGCGCGGTCATAACCCGTTCTGGGATACTTGGAAGCCCCGCTCCCAACTGATGATTGACGTACTGGGTTTTGTTGAGCAGTACGACGCGGCACATCCTGTGCCGCAGAAGAACCGCCGGAGAAAGTCTTCCCGGCACGGTCGTAAAGGAATTTCAAGTTGTCAATCCCTTCGTACATCTCACTAGAGATACGTACGCGCCACCACGGGCTAGTAAGGAGGTAAGCCTCCTTAGGTGCGCGCGCTGAGTTGTTTACACGACAAGGGCACGGGTCTCCCCAAGAGAGGCAGGGTAATCCTTTCTCCCTTGACAGACGATGCAGCTTATAGCGCGCACCTGTCGGGGTTCTTTTCTCAAACTTATCACGAGCTTTGATACCTTTGTCGTTCCAAACGTCACGACCTACATCCTCAAGGTTATGGATGTAAGCGTTCCACGCTTGAAGCAGTGAGGGACCATCACGTTTGTGATTCCCACTGTACCATCGATGTCTGAAGAAAGCATCGATTAAGAAATCATTCTCAGCGCGATAGTTTTTTTGCGCTGGGGTGAAGGTGATGGGTCCTTGACGAATCGAACAATCGTGTTCGATAACGATCACTCGTCGTCGCCGACAAGTGATCCATGACAGTTTTGGAGGCATCCATGCCTTCTTCTCGGGAGCGAGATGCGAGACATTGCGGTCCTGCTCTTCCTGCGATGTGCCGACAGAAGTACTGGTACCTCGCTGCGAAGTGGTGTTCATAGGAGAACCGACACCACTGTGAGCGCCCGAGTCTCGCGACCTCGAGCGCCTTCGCTTCGGCGATGGTTCATCTAATTCGTCAGATGAACCAAAGATGCTACGACGCAAAGCATCATCCATGCTACGCTTGGCAGGCTGCTTGGATTCAATCGCCGTCGATACGGATCCGTCTTCCATATCAGGAAAGTATGAGACTCCGAGCTCATACTCTGTGAAGACATGAGTGTCTTCACGACCAGCGCCTGCATCACCAAGTGGCACAGGCTGATTCAGCAACCGATGAGACATCGTGATTTCTGCTTCGGCGTCCGTACAGAGACATGCGGACCCGCTCTCGGCGTCCTTGCTCGCGCATCGCATGGGCTTGTTAACCATGCGATGAGATGTTGGAAAGTGGACTCGGACCAACAAGTGCAAACCCCGTCCCAAATGATTTGGGACGAGTATCCATTTAGTCAATCAGTCACTAAAGTGACTGATGGTTAAGGGGGGTGATGCAACGGGGGGAATCGTTGCATAACAATTTATAAGAAATTGTTAATAGAATATAACTATAAGTGTTACATTCTCAGAATATTGTCATAAGGACAAATATTCTGTAGCACTTACGAGTAGTTCCTAATTGGTTGATACGGGCCATTAAATTAACCAACGAAGACGCGCCACGACAGACGCACGCAATGAGTGGTGAGCAGATAGTTGATATGCACATTTGCATTCAGGCATAGTTAGATGAAGATAAATAGTGATTTATTGCAGACGTTAACTATTATAAATGCAGTTCTACTTTTTACTTAAACTAAGCACTCGCTTCTTCTTACCGTCTTCCTCTGCACGTACGAGTGTACGTGAAGTTCCGAGGCACCGCCTTATTCTGTCATCAGAATAAGTAGCTTGTACTGGTGACAGTACAAGCTTTAGGGTGCCCCGTTACAGTTTTGTCATGAAATGAATTGTTCTTTTCAGCAGCTTTAAGCTGGCGAAACTCAAACGCAATGACGCGCTCACGCCCATTAACATGTGGTGAAGTTGATCTCACAAAATTACTTAAGTAAGTGTCGATCTTCCACTTGCCCAGACTTGCCGACTCACGGAGGGGGTACTCCGATCCGTGCCTTGCTGTATAACCTTGTGCTCACCTTGTGTACCCGTCGGTTGGGCTGGCTTACGCTCTACGTAACGGCCTTGGAGGATGTCGATCTCGCTGAGAGATTGGGTTGAGAGTTCGCTTTCGGTGCGGAAATCTTCACTCCACGAACAGAGGTTCTGCGATCTTAATTTTGAGTCCCGGCGATCTCTGGTTAAAGATGTCGCTATCTCGATCTTGAATCACTCCGATCTCAATTTGTCTTCGGGATCGGGGTCTTTGCTGTGCAGAAATTTTCACTCAGCAAATAGTAGTCTTGCGTCGATCTTGCCTTGGGATCGGTACGATCTGGTCTTGGGATCGGCCAATCTTGCTGGAAGTGCGCAATTTGGGCAGATCGGTCCTTGGTTTCGCCAAAATGAAACACGCCGATTTTTCCAGTTAATCGCTTCGATCTTGCTCGGTCGTGTTTTGAACGCCTTTTCCAGATCTTCTGACCACTTGAGCCGTCTCGCAATCTTGTGCCCAAAATTATTTTCCTGTGTTGCTGCTACCCTAGCAGTTGAGTTGAGAGTGAGTACTTAATCGATCCGGGCCAAACTTCCCGCGGTCGCACTTCCCGATCTTGGATAACAATCCAAGATCGGTCTTCTGTGTCCTTGTAACACGCGTGCCTTGACCCGCCGGGGAAGCCAAATCAATCTTGCCCGGAGAAGAGGGGAGGAGAACGTGCGTCGTGAGCAGAAGAAGTAGAGTTCAAGTCTGTTTATTAACCTACCAAATTATTAGCCAACCTATCTTTAAGCCTATTCTCAACTATAGGTCACTCTCCAAGTCGATATCACCTATAAGCTTGACCGCCCCCTTGAACACGTGTCGAAGTTTGATGACCTATACTCCAAAGATAGCGCCAATATCCCCGATATCGTACCTAAACGCCGAAAGAGGACCAAATCCCAAATGTGGTACCAAATAACCTTTTTTCGGTACCCAAAAGCCCGAAATAGTGCCCAAATGCCGAATGCGTCTAAATTCATTTTGCGACGTCATTTTAACCGGATTCCGCTGGCTCTTTCGATCTGAACTTTTGAGACATCACTCATGGACCTTCAACAAGCATGTTTGTCATGTTTCAAAAGTCTCATCATCGGTATATCCATACCCAGCAGGGAACATGACCGATCTGATGTCCAATTCGAGATTGTTGAGGATACACAAAGTACAATCCGGCCATATCGGTTCTTCCGTTCATTGTGCGTACTCCGATGCATTTCTCAGAAATTTTCTGCTTCAACATCCACATCCCTGCCTTTGATCAGCCTTTAGAGCGGTCGTTTGGTCCAATCCAGTCCCTCATCCCAGATCGCACCGTGGAAATCACCCCTTTCTACGCCCGTCTCAAATCACGTCGCATCGCCTGGTCCCAGGCATCATTTTCCGCCAGTGGGTGACGTCTTCACTGGGTGGACACCGATCCACGTCCCATCATTTGGTTAGTGACTTTACCACAAACATATGTTAGTGACAGAGCACTGCCAATGGCAAAGTCAGACGCGTCACAAACGACACTAAAGGGCCGACCAGGATCAAGCAAAGCCAATATTGGCGCATGGAGGAGACTTTCCTTAACCGCTTTAATAGCATCGTGCTCGGTACGACCCAACAACAATCCACTTCCTTTTTCAGGAGATTGGTTAATGGCCTAGCCACGTCTGCGTAATTCGCACTAAACTTATGCAAAAAATTGGCAAGGGGCAGCCACTTACGTAAGTCCTTTTGTCTTTAGGAAAAAGCCAATCGACTATGGCCTTTACCTTAGCGGGGTCCTCTCGAAGACCTCGCTTCACAACAAAGCACCCTAGAAAGGGATTTCTTATGCATCAAAGACGCGTTTAGAATCGTTAGCGTACAATGTAGTCGTACACATGCACTCGAGCACCGCTCATAAATGATCGATGTGGTTATCTAGATCTTGTCGACCATTCATTGCACGACTACGATCAAAAATGTCGTCAAAGTACGTCTGAGCGTAACCTTGATGAGGTCGGAACAGTTGCGTCACCAGACAAATAAACGTAGCCGGGGCGCTAGACAGCCCTTGTGGCATAACGAGCCGCATCCAGAGCATACCGCTCGAAGTAAATACCGCTGATAGTGGAATATCACTCACTTGCATTAGGAGCTGGTTATGACCGTTGACTGAGTCGAGTGCGCTGTACAATGTACACCCTTCCATTTTGTTCTGAAGAACACACTTTCCAGGAATAGGCGTCTGCGCCGATGTAGTGGCTGCATTAAGCTTATTACAAGCATGCACTATGCGCTACTTGCCATTTGGCTTATTGACACAAAATTTCGGTGTTAAATGGGGAGATTTACTCTCACAAACCATTCCAGCCGCGTGCCTAGCACGAAGAAATTGTCAATGACGTCACACTGTTCTTTGGGCAAAGGCCACTGCCGTGTTACACAGCATTTAGCTCCTGGCGCTATGTTATGAAGTACACCTCTATCAGATGGTAAGACGGATGGTGGATTGTGACACACCACACCTTGTAAGTTCTTTTCCCAAAGGATAAAATGGGTCCAAAGAATCTTAAAGAATCGAAGGTCCAATTCGCGCATTAAGTGCCGCTATTGCCTCTTCTAAGACCGACTCACCCATTAATGAGGACGAGTTCAACTTAACATCGGGTCTAATGACCACTAATTCGAATAAATCTCCTGCCTGTAAGACCTAGCTAAACTCAATGTCAAAATTTTGTCTATCTTACACAGAGCATCCAAAGATGAAAGGGTATCAAGCCTAACACTTCCATCAACTTGACCGACAACTCCACTCACAAGCGTATAATTACTATTACAATATTATACTCAGTGACTGTGTGGACGCCTGGCGGTTAACAGTTGCCACCTGACGTCCAAGTCATCTCTTGGAGAACTTACACCCCTCAGGGGTCGTAACAGGACTGTCCACTTTACTACTACTAATAGTAGTACGCTCTTCACGAGAGCTGATGTCTTGACCGACGTCCGGTGAAGTGTTACATGACACGAACTCTTCGCTCAGTGGATTTTCACGTGCCACTCCACGCACAGTATGCGGGACTAGCCCTGAACTGAACGGCGTTTCGCCAACAATGTCAGTACCGACATTATTTGTGGTGCCCTCACGGCCGCCCACACTCGGTGAATTTTCACGTGCCACCTCACATACATCAAGGAATCACAACCTTGATAGCTCTTACCTAGGCCAACCATGCATCTGCATGCATTAACTTGTTATTACAATGAGTAACAATCAACTGAATACGTGCCGTATCAATAATATTTAAAGACCTACGCTCGCAATTCATGAAATCAACAATGGATTTAGACAACTCAGACATGCCAATTTTCAGCACATTGACATCTTCTGCCAAAGGCTCGCGCCAGTAGCGCTTCGGTTGCCTAGTGAAAGTGGGTTCATGACTCCTTAAAACTTCGCTAAGATAGTTGTGCGTGACGCCTAAGGTCTTAGACCTCCAATCAATCCACGGCTCATGGTGTTCAAGCCAAGCCATACCAAGGATGAGATCATATCTCGAGTCCAGATAATGGACAATACAGCGTTAAATACTTTCAAAGTCTAAAAAACAGTATACCTAGGTTTAATGGAACTTTAGGCACAGTAAAACAACTTCCAGTCGCTAAACGAACCGTGATAGACCCTCATGCGCTGTAAGCGCTTCAGCGTAACGCTGCATTTTTTAAGTGAACGACGTCGAGCATAATTGCAAGACGATCCGGACTCGATCAACATCCACCAAGGCCTCTCAGAGCCCTCTATTTTCGCCTCGGCGACAAACAAGCCAGACCTGTATCTACTATCCATACCAATAGTTATGGAGCTCTTTGGGGCTAAGCTCTGTTGAATTTTACCTCCTAAATGTGTAACAGAACCCAGTTCTTCCCCAGTAGGGCGCCCCGCGCCTACTGGGCGTCGAAATTTCCCCGTGCCAGGCCAGACTTCTGGCTCGGGGTTGAGTGTTGGCTTGTAGACTGACGCTGTTTACGAATATAGTAAGCAGGTCGCTAGTGTTAAGTGCTTCAGCATGTAAAACCTCGTCGTACGACGCATTGCTGCTAAGCAGGTTGAATTTCAACTTCACTCTCATCTTCAGCGTAGCTGATATTTATAGTTCCCGGCCTGTTAATGGCCGGAGTACTCGTGGTGTTTGTTCTCGCAGAGCTAGGGTTGTACCCATTCTAGCCAAGTGTGGAAGACTTGAAG